CAGAAGCAGAAAGACTCACCTTAGCAGGAATTTGGAAACCGGTAAAATTTAGCAATTGGGCATCCCCAATCGTGCTCGCACCTAAGCCAGGTGGCGAAATTCGTATTTGTGGCGATTTTAAGCAGGCAGTAAACGCACAAATCGACGTCGAACAGTATCCATTGCCAACAAAAGAAGCGCTGTTCCACATCATACGTCATGGTAAGCAGTTCAGCAAAATAGATCTTAAGGATGCCTACCTTCAGATGGAATTGGATGAAGCTGCAAAGCAAATCATGGTCGTTAACACACCACTGGGCCTATTTCAATATCAGCGCCTACCATACGGAATTGCAAGCGCACCAGCAATCTTCCAGAGATATCTTGAGCAACTTCTAAAAGGGATAGAAGGTTGTGGCAACTACTTAGATGACATCATCATCTCAGCACCTACAAGCGAAGAACACCTTCAACGCATCGAACAAGTTCTCAGCATTCTTCAAGAGAACGGCATCAAATGTAAACGTGAAAAATGTTTCTTTTTCAAAGACGAAATTGAATATTTGGGGCGAAGAATCAGCGCAAACGGGATTCTTCCAGACAGCTCAGGCTTAGAGGCAGTTAAACGTTTGAGTCCACCTTCTAATTTACAACAGTTGGAAGCATTCATGGGTAAAGTAAATTATTATTGTAACTTTATTCCAAACTATTCGCAGTTGGCGGCTCCTTTGAATCAACTTCGAAGAAAAGACGTAAAGTACTACTTTGGTCTACAACAGCAACAAGCGTTTACAGCTCTGAAGTCTCACATCATCAACGCAACGCAACTAGCTCATTTTGATGAAAAATTACCGCTAGTCCTCGCCACAGATGCCTCATCCTTTGGCATCGGGGTAGTCCTTTCGCATCTTCAACCAGACGGCGGAGAGAGACCCATTGTGTTCGCATCGAAAACACTAGACAAGCACCAGGCTAAGTACAGCCAAATCGAAAAGGAAGCACTCTCCATAGTATTTGGAGTTAAACGATTCCACCAGTATCTTTATGGAAGAAAGTTCATTCTACTTACAGACCATAAGCCGCTTGTAACTATTTTTAATCCAAGCAAGCACCTGCCGTTAATGACGTCAAACAGACTACAACGTTGGGCCATTATTCTCATGGCCTACAATTTTGAGATCCAGTACCGATCCACATCTGCTCATGGTAATGCAGATGCACTTTCGCGCCTTCCAGTGGGCACAGATCCAGACTTTGATAAAGAAGAGGAAGCTTGCTACACAGTATTGGAATCAACTCCACCAATCAATTCAGAGACCATTCGCAACCATGTGGATAAAGACAAAGTTCTGAAACAAGTCCTTCAATATGTATCTGAAGGATGGCCAGAAAAACTTCAGCAAGGCAACGAAGCCTTATTGCCTTACTTTAACCGGAAGTTTGCTCTCACCATCAACAAGCAGTTGCTTTGCCTACACAAAGACGCAAACCGTATTGTAATTCCTTCTAGCCTACGTGCCCATATCCTGAAACTTTTACATGAAGGTCATTGGGGCATTGTTCGAATGAAGCAGCTAGCTAGACAGCATGTTTGGTGGCCTACCATAGACGATGACATTAAAAATATTGCTCAGTCATGCGACATCTGCAAATGCAACAATCCAGCACCACCAAGGGAGTTCCAAAGTTGGCCAGCAGCAACAGCAGCATGGGAGCGAATTCATGTCGATTTCGCAGGCCCAATCTTCGACAATATGTGGCTTATATGTGTAGACGCCTACTCGCAGTTTCCATTTGTTGTTCAAATGTCGTCTACAACCACAGATAACACGATCGCTGCATTATCATCAATTTTCGCTATAGAAGGATACCCAAAGACTCTAGTTAGCGACAACGGTCCACAGCTTACGGCTGACGCCTTCAAAGAATTCTGCAAACTACACGGCGTAAAGCACATCACAACAGCACCGTTCCACCCAGCATCCAACGGATTAGCAGAACGTTTTGTACAGACGTTTAAATACTCAGTCAAGAAGAACCTTCAAGACGGTATACCAGTACGAGTAGCAGTAACTAAATATCTTGCTTCTTACAGGTTTACTCCTAATGCACAAGGGAAAACTCCTGCCGAGTTAATTCATGGTCGACCAGTCCGTACCGTTTTAAGTCAACTTTTCGAGCAACCTACTCAAGCTAAACAGCCAGCAACAAAGTACGTTCCAAATCAAATGGTCTATGCTCGAAATTATTCAAGGGGAGAAAAGTGGATAGAAGGCATCATCGACCGTTCCATTGGAAAAATGATTTATGTTGTAAAAACAAAAAATGGTTTTTTCAAGCGCCATTTCAATCAGTTGAAACCGAAGTTGCCAGTACTCAACGACATAAAGAGATCTCCAGAGATTTGGTGGGTTCCTGAACTCCCACAGTCAGCTTCCAGTCAAGGACCACAACGACCAGATCAACCGTTAACTACGCCAGCTGTTCAGAACCTGATCCTGTCCCTGATCCACCGGAGAACATAGCAGCACCCAACCAACAACCGGTGCAGTTACAACAAACACGTCGTCGTTCGGGCATCCCAATACGTCAAAGCACCAGAGTTCGCCAAGAAGTCGATCGTTACAAGCCTAAGGACTTCAGACAACAAAAACATCCGCATCGCTCGTAAATTAAAGGAGGAGATGTGTTATGTATAATCAAATGTATTCTTAATTTTAAACCTTCACAAAATATGTTCACATTGTACAACACACATTCTATCCTATCTGGCAACCTTACACTTCTTCAGTATACTATATGAATAAACAGTTGGTAATAAGCACTCGACGTGATCGCTTCTGTCTGCTCGCTCCCAAACATAACATATATATATACTGTTGAGAATATTCTACCATAATTCATAACGATCGAAGCATTAGAACAGAAGTTGTAGCTATTTATAGTGCACGACCTGCGCATCGGCTTGAACAAACTTGAAACTTTAAACGCGATTATCTAAGAATCGTTTTTTTTCGAAGTTACCTTTGCGGTGGACACGATTACTAAAAAACTATTAATCCGATCAACACCAAATTTTGACCACTTATTTAATTTCACAATAGCTAGTCCTCTAACGAAGAATTTTTAATTTTTTTTGAAAACTTTTTTTTTAGAGCATAAAAATCGAAAATCTTATACATTGAAAAAGTACATTTTTTGTTAAAACTGTCGCCATTTTTTTTTTAATCAAAAGTTTTACAAATCCATGGTCTAGAGGACTAGGCAATACAATATACTAACGAAAATTTTGTTAATTTTTGATTTCGGATGAACCGTTCTCAGGATATGATGTCCACCGCAAGTCACCATCAAAAAAAAGACGATCTTGGAATTCGGCCATAACATTTTTGATATTTAATATTTTTTTATGAACAAATTTTATAAAGTACCCAGAAACATGTACTAAACAACGTCGGCAAAACATTTTTATACCCTTGCAGGGTATTATAATTTCAGTCAGAAGTTTGCAACGCAGTGAAGGAGACGTTTCCGACCCTATAAAGTATATATATTCTCGATCAGCATCAATAGCCGAGTCGATCTAGCCATGTCCGTCTGTCCGTCCGTCTGTCCGTCTGTCCGTCCGTCTGTCCGTTTCTACGCAAACTAGTCCCTCAGTTTTAAAGCTATCTGAATGAAACTTTGCATATAGTCTTCTATATGCTCTCACTGCTATATATGTCAGAACGGGCCGGATCGAACGGCTATATCATATAGCTGCCATACAGATGTTCGAGAAATTTTTGGAAAAAAAAGTATAACTTGGCTGTTTTTCAATATTATTCCATCATTTTTGAGATATAGCCATTTTATATTATTCCAGAATTTTCGTAAAAATTTTATAAAAATCGGACCACTATATCGGCCATAGGAACGATCGGGAAATTAATCGAAAAAATTATAACTTCGTTGTTTTTCAACGTATTTTCATCTACTTTGAGATATGAGCTTTACCTTTTGTTATAGGATTTTGGTATAAATTTTATGAAAATCGGACAACTATATCATATAGCTGCCATATAAACGATCGGTAAATGTAGAGAAAATGTAAAGCTGGGAATGTAAAACTGTAACTGTCAAACTGTAAACATTATAAGTATAGTTAAAATGTTATGAAACTCTGTTTAGTGTCTGTTTTCGGCATTATAATTTATAATATAAATATGAAAACCAATCTGCAAGGGTATACAAACTTCGGCGTGCCGAAGTTAGCTTCCTTTCTTGTTAATAAATATTTTTTATGATGTAAAAAAAATCGACAAAATTGCATTTTTTTGCGCGGTACAACTGTATATAACCCCTTAAGATACCTATCTTCCAGAAGGAAGAGTAGCAAGTTTTGATGATAGAGGGATGTCGGATGGTAACTATCGTTGCATTCCTGTAGGCTTTTTGATTTAGATGTCAGTGTAAAACCAATTGAAAGAACTCTCCCCTTCAATCAAATAAAAATGCACTGACCTGGATTCTGGGACACTTTTTTGTTTTATTTAGTTTGATATACTAACCGAAACAACCTGACAAACAAATGGCAATAGATTTGATACGATTTTACCTTTGAATAAATATACTATGGTTCTGACTGTTACAACGAAAGACACAACTAAAAGTAAATCAAAAGGTTACTGAGAAGGTACAAATGAAAAGTGGGTCAACACTTACACCCTTGCGCCACCTATGGAAACTGCGTCAATGGTTCGGGATCGATGCGATTTGAAGCTTGTAGTCATCACATTGTACCGCTTCTAAAAACGTTGTTGAATGGACCCTAGGAATCTCGGGCATATGCACATAGGCATATACCCGGTGGTACAGAACTTCCTCCACAGTAGAAATAGCAAATAATTAGTTCTATTTCATTAGTTTTATATGTTTATTAATTACAATACACATGTTATATTATTTCAAGGGCTACAAAAAGTATAAAACAAAATAGCGATTCAAATTGAAAAAAAAATCGAAAAGATCCCATAGTTGCAGTAATGCCAAAAAAAAAATATATATATATATATGTAACAAAGAAAAAAAAAACAATTACGTACCATAAACAACAAAGAATTGAAGAAGCTTTACAGATGAGTTATGGTAGAATTCTGTGGCAAGACAAAATTCTTATACATTTATAAGGCACTAGCTATTTATTTTCTTAGAATTGCAATTAAGATTAAATACCTTATAATCTTTAAAAATTTTGTTTTTAGAATTATTTATAAATAAGCAACAAATTAAGCGCATAACAATCAATAAAAAAAATCTTTGCCGTTAGACTTTCGTATTTATACTTCATATGATCTAAATATAAGTTTGTACATCTAAAGTCATGGAAATATATATATTTACTTCTAGGATCAACTGGTGGTTTCAGGGTTGGCATTTTAGAACAAACATCTAAACTTTGTTTAGATACCGATTATGTTAAAACTTCTTGTTTTCACTTTGCATTTTTTACCATTCAGTCGTGCTCCGGTTTTTCGCAAGTTTCTTGCGATGCGTTTGCGTTTTTGAAAACAGGCAGTTGGTCTCTGCCAAATTAAATGTTAAAGTGTTTTGGTTTTTAAAATCGAATACTATTTGCTAGAGACAGAAAATAGTTACCTTGAAACATGATAGAGTTATACAAGGTAGTCCCGTCGGGTCCAAATCGTTCGGGTTTTAGGGCTTATTTTGACAACTCGTGCTTATTCAGTTAGTCATTTCATTCAAACCTTCAGGCTATACCCGTCTCACACACACTTTAATAAGCCGAACTAGGGCTTATTTTTCCGACGGGACTACCTTGTATAATTCTACCATTCCTTGAAATGTCTGCCTTTATTTTACTTCAAAACTAACAATCGAAAAAAAAAATACATTTTAACAGTCAGTAGCATCTGAAATCAACTAAGTCAGATGTCCGAGCAGAAAGGAAAATTTAAATATGATATGCATATAATATAAAAAAATATAACAAAACTATGAAAACAAATTTACGAAACCCGGAGCACCTGAATACGAAGTCGTAATTTTTTTTTAAAAGCGTAAGTTAATGAAAATATAAATTAAAATTAGAAATAGCTTTATAAGAACAGGGTCTACTGATGTGTTTTCAAGTGTTCCACGTAGTTCTCCGGAATGAGTCCTGTTTTACCATTTAGTGTGCCTTGCAACCAACCAGGCTCGTGAGAATATCGAACTATATATGAGACAAAGCATATGTTAAAAAAAAATTGTTTTTCCTGAGGCCGATTTTTCAATATTTTGTTAGTTTTGTCATTGAGGTAATTTTTTTTTATTTTGAGTGGTATAGGCTAATAATGTCTCCTAATGTCATCTGAATGAAAACTTTATTTAGAGGCATTCCCCTAGTTAAAAATGTGTTATTCAGATAGAGACAAAAGTTATATTTGGGCACCACTTTTCTCTGAAGCAACAATTTACCTTAATGACAAAAGTTAACCTGACTTTGAAAAAGCGGCGCTTAATGGTTCAACTTACCATTAGTTATAATTTGATTTGGCTCAAACGAAAGTTCACCCTCACTTTCTCCCATGCAAGCGTATAGGGTACGAACACGACTAGAAACATATCAAAATTAGTTATTTTTTAATTATCGATTTAGATGTATTGGTATTTGTGATTGGCTAAGGTAGTTAGTTACGTGCACCATTTCCTAAAGGCTATGGCTTGGTATTTAAATAATATTGGTTGATAAGTATTTATTGATTGATTTTTTAATTTAAAGAATACTATGAATAGCATTATAAGATAATAGTACTCGACCATAGCGTTTCCTTCTTCTATTAACTTATGAATTAAACGTAAGTACATAGCTTTTAATACTTACGCTGTTCCGGTTGACAAATCACGTTCAATTTGGTTTATGTCACGATTGCGATGCATTTTAGCAGGCGGATAGTCTGAGTTTTCGTTGATGGAGCCACTTCCGCTAAGACTCCCACCTATTACGGTATTATTACCTATAACGGAAGGCGCCACTGTTGCCATTACAATATCCTCACCACAAGTTGGCCCAAGAAGTGTTGACAAGGATGCCGTTTGTGACGCAACTGTCGGAGCATAGTTTTTTATATTCCGTATGTGAGGCTCAGGCACACTGCCACTACCGGTGTTGCCGCTGTTAGTATTTACTACCACGGAGGTGAAGCCATTATTAGATGACAGCGAGTCACATACACTGTCATTAGAGCTTGATGTCGATGCTGGCACCATGGGAGAATAGTGCTTTGCCTGTCCGTAGGAATACAGTCCGCGTTGGACTGGAGGGTGCTGCTGTGGACCACTTGATGTGGCAGCACTTCCTAACGCATTACTAACTAAACGTTCTTTTCGTGCTGTAGTAATGGGCGGGGAAACATTAGTTAGACTCATCCTATTGCTTGGCGACACACCAACCGTGTTTGTATATATGTGGGTACTAGAGGCAGACTGAGACACTGGAGTGGCCGTGGCCAACAGGTACTCAGGGTGACGCAAATTGCTCGTACTACTTGCACCACTGCTGCCAATGTTAGAATTTAAGAGTCCATAAACGGTACCGGCCACAGGATCAACATAACGTCGTGAGCTTAGCTCGTTCTGTGCTATCGCGTTTAAGTTCTTAATACTTCCAATTGTAGAGGGTGATACTAGGCCATTTGAAATGTGAAGGGAGGGCGAGAGTGATGTACATTCCCCACCACGAAAACTACTTACAGCTGCTGCCCCACTTGTAGTAGAAGATGCGTTACTGGCACTTGTCTGGCCTTGGGCAGGGGCGTAACTCGTGTTTGTTCCGTTTGGAATATTTTGCAGGCTGGATGACATTGTGGGGTCCGTATAGCTTGATTTGGATTGCGCAACTGAACGATAGGTTTTATGCTGCGATGAGAACATTGCATTCCGTTCGGTACTACTCCCCCCCACTGCACCTGTTGAAGCTGCCTTTCCTATTTGGGAGGCGCGAGGCATGCGCGCCGGCGGACTATTGGTACTGGTAGGGTACATTATGCACGGTGTCTTGCTGACGTCTATGGATGTGACACCACCACTTGGAAAGGTTTTAAAGATCCTCTCATAGTTATCAATGAGTATATTGATTACGATATTATTAAACTTAATATCCAATATGGCTGCAACTGTTTCTTCTTTCGGTCTGAGCAAAGTTGGTCCAAAAACTACTCCGAGATTAAATACGGACATTTTATTTTTTTCGTATTTGCGTGACACCCTGAAAATAATTATATAAAGTTTATATTTTAGTTAAAAGGAATCACAAAAGTAAAAACATTTACAATAATCTTGAAGTTGCCCTAATAATCGAATCTATCCTACAATTAAAAAACTAGGAGAGCTACAGCCGATCGGCCGATCCGGGCCGTTCCTACTAATATACCATAATAAGGTTAACTCGGTGCAAAAATGCCATCTTTTCAATAAAATGTTGGGCCAAACGGCTAAAGTTAGCTTAACGAATTAAACCATATAATAACACAACATTTGAACAGTTTTTGATAAATTTTGTATTGAAAAATATTTAGAGGTAGAGGAGTTATAGGGAATCTCCGGAGTCGCCTCCAAAAAAAGTTGGTTTGCGGTGTACATTCTAACTGTCCACAGAATCATCCGATCTACAAAAATTATACCTCATTCGTTAAAGAATAAGTGTCCCGAGGTATTCACGAAGCGTTTTTATTTTTAAAATTTTTTCCCTATTTTTTATCAAAATTTCAAGTTAAAACCCCGATTTTTGACTAAAAAATTAAGTTAATTTGTTAAATAAAAAATATAATAAAATTTAAAATTAAAAAAAGCTCGACGTGAGTACCTGAAAAATTACCTAAAGAAGTTATGTTCCAAATTTCAAACCGATTGGTTCAGTAGATTTAGAGTTATCGTGTACACCGATTTTCAAAATGGCATTATTCAGGAGAGCGCTTTAAACTTTGTGATTCTCATGCATTGAACACCAACCGACCTTCGTTCAACTCCGCATAACTTCGTCAATATTCCTATGATCGATGTAAAACTTGGACACAATATTCTTAAGATGTTAAACTTTCAAAATAAAAAAAAAAAAAAAATTAAATACCTTACCTTACGCTCTCCTTTTCTCTCCCTCTTCCTCCGGACTTCCAGTCCTAGAGCTTCTAATCCGCTCTCCCTAGCTTTAGTTTTTGTTCTTTGTATTCAGTACCAATTTACTTCTACATAAATAAACATCTCGACGCACGTCGCGTAACACCCCGACAAGTCCTACGTGTTATTATTTATCCGAGTGCATTTCAGCTTAAAGCCGCCCCCCTCCAACATTTGGTCCATCAGAGCCGGATTTCATCCACCAGCAGCTCCGGTGGCTTTAACACCGCACCAGATAAGTCCATTACATTATTGCTGCCGGTCATACAGTTAGGTTTTGCGAAACTCAATTCGTCTTAACTTCTCTGTATGATTATTGTCTAAATCCAAGTCCGATTAATCCGACACTACGGCAAAAAATCCAAAATAATTCGGTATTCATTTTCTACATTTGTGCCAAAATCCAAAAGTGTGTGTTTAAATAAATAAATAAATGCAATAGCCACAGTGAGAATTTAATTCCAATAGTTCTCAATTCCTCTTCGTTAACTGTGTTCCCGCTAGCATTTATTTACATTTACATACATATTCAATACAGTCCACTCCACAAGACTACAATCGCTGTCAACATTGACATTTCCCCAATTCGAGAAATTATATCCAAATAATTTCTATACAAGATCTACGGGTTCCAAAATTCATAAAGTGTTTGTTTAAATAAATGCCTGTTTATAAATGAATCCGCCTTAGTGTATACTGTTTAATATAATTTTATTTATTTCCGAACAATTACATTTAATATTGTCGACCGCGCTGCGTTAGATTGCATTGAGAGCAAAAATGTGACTGACTAAGCTTTGGCTATGCACGTCATTCGATTATGCTAGTCGAAGACGTAAACAAGTTACAGTTAGGAGTTAGAAATGAATGGAAAATTACTGGGCAGAAGCACGCGCGCATGTGCAGCGATGCGCTGCTCGCTTAGCGACCGCTGATAAGGCCGCCGGCAGCGGCGATCAAAACAAAGAGCGCGAAACCCAATACAGGGTGTCTCGTTCCCAAACACACCGGCCCCCCTGAACGGTCGTTCAGCACAGAGGCAAGACAGCAATTTTGGTAATTGGATCCATGGGCCGTCTTTACTGTTACGACCCGTACTTTGTCATCTGATCCTGCGTGCACCTCGCTGATGCGTCCAAGAATCCATTTAGAGGGAGGTAGATTAGGCTCCTTGAGTACCACCAGTGTGTCGATCTTCAGATTCTCAGTTTCTAGATGCCATTTTGTGCGTTCGTGAAGCGATGTCAGGTATTCCATATGCGACCGTTTCCAGAAACCTTGGGATATAGCTTGCAGCTGATTCCACCTCTCCAGTCGATTGATTTGCATATCCAGACGGCAGGGTTCAGAGAGGGCAGTATAAGGAACTCCAGTCAGGAAATGAGCGGGAGTCAGCGGGTCCAACGAATTATCCCCAGTTGGCCACAGTGGGCGAGAGTTGAGGATGGCTTCAATTTGGGTCAAAACAGTCGCTAGTTCCTCAAACGTAAGAGCCTTGGATCCAAGTATCCGTCGCATATGAAGTTTTATGGAACGAACGCCGGCTTCCCACATTCCGCCAAAATGAGGGGCAGATGGGGGTATGAAGTGCCAAGAAATGCCTTCGTTGGCGAAGAATCCAGCCAGTTTCTCATCTTTAGATTGTTCGATGACGAGGCGTCGCATGTCGTCCAAAGTTTGCTTTCCGCCATGAAATGTGGTTCCGTTGTCCGAGTACAGATCGGTGGGCTTTGTGCGTCGGGCAATAAATCGTTGAAAGGCTGCGATGAAGGCCTTTGCAGTCAGATCACTGACGACCTCGATATGGATTGCCTTTGTAGTTAGGCAGATAAAAATAGAAAACCATGCCTTTCCGATCCGAGAAGTTCGTCCTGTTGATTCCTTGATGGCGATCGGTCCAGCGTAATCCAGCCCTGTATGTTGGAAACAGCGACTAGCCTGAACTCGAGGGATTGGCAGCTCTCCCATGATCTGGTTACTGGTGCCTTTCCGTTGAAGAAAGCAGCGTTTGCATTGGAAAACTGCCTTTCTGACCAGATTGCGTGCACCCAGAATCCAGTACTGCTGACGAAGATTGGTGAACGTAGCATCAACTCCAGTGTGTAGATGTGAAACGTGAAAATGACGAACCAGGAGTCCAGCTAGTGGTGAATCCTTTGGTATTAGGATTGGATGCTTGGCGTTGAAGTTGAGTGTAGAGTTGTCGATTCTTCCACCGACTCGCATAATTCCATGATCGTCCAGAAATGGGGAGAACCGAATTAAATGCGATTTAGCATTAAGCGGGCGTCGATTCTCTAGCTGCGCATATTCTCTGGCAAAGAAATTTTGTAGCACGTGTCGGATGAGTCGGCAACGTGCGGCCTGCAACTCTTCGGATGTAAGGAATGGTGCCGGATTCCTATGACGATAACAGTAGCTAGCGATAACAGTAGCTAGATACCCTTAGCAGACGCGTCCAGGTTGAGAATTTGTGGATGAGTAACTCGTAGATACTTTCATCAGGAAAGTTATGTAGAGTTGTGGGCTTGACAGATCGCTCTTCGGTGTTGACATCGAGATTTGAAGATACGCTGAACTTGCTTGTAGACGATGGCCAATCAGAGGGCGGTGTGGCCAGCCATGATGGACCCTTCCACCACAGTCGATGCTCCAGAAGCTTGGACGGATGAAGTCCTCGAGAAGCACAGTCGGCAGGGTTGTCCTCTGTGCGAACATGATTCCAGCAGCTGCGAGGAAAGTCGTTCAGGATCTCAGCCGTTCGGTTGCAGACGTATGTGTTCCAGTTTCGTGGGGGAGCTGAAAGCCAGTGTAGCACAATTTCTGAATCTGTCCAGCAGCTTGTGCCGAAAATAGGAATCGTTAGTGAGGCTTTGACAATCGAGAGCAATCGAGAAAGAAGTAAAGCAGCATTCAGTTCCAGACGTGGGATCGAAACACGCTTGATCGGGGCTACACGGGTTTTGGCAGCAACTAGGGTGATTTGAAAACTGCATATGCTACTCGAGCGTATACAACCGCACCGTAGGCTTGCGCGGATGCGTCGGCGAATCCGTGTAGTTGAACGTCTTGGAATGGTGACGCAATGTATCGTGGTACTTGACATTGCGTAAGTGTTGGCAAATCCTCCACCAAGGCCTTCCACCGCGAGCGTAGAGTTTCAGGAATCGGGTCATCCCATTGCAGAACACTTGTCCAGCTTTCTTGGAAGATAAGCTTGAGTAGAACTGTGACCGGCGCTACCAATCCAAGCGGGTCATAGATTCTTGATAGCTGCGACAAGAGTTCCCTTTTCGTCGGAGAAATGGTCGGATCGCACTCCTTGATATTGAGGTACATGACGTCCTTTCCGGGATTCCATTGGATGCCAAGAATTTTGATTGGTGAATCCGCAGCTGATTTGTCGAGGAGCTGGATAGGCTCATAGCATCGGTCCTCTTCTGGCAATGATTTTAGAAGACGACAACTGTTGGAACTCCATTTCCGTAGTTTGAATTGCGCCTTATCCAACAGTTGAATCAGCTCGTTTTTAAGAATCATGAGCTCTTCGAATGAGTTGCACCCCGTTGGGATGTCATCTACATAAGCGTCGTGTAGAAGCGCGTGGGCTGCTGCGGGGAACTCGTGGCGGTGATCCTCAGCTAGTTGCTTAAGAACTCGAACAGCCAGAAATGGTGACGGCGCCAATCCGTAGGTGACCGTCAACAGGCGAAAATGAAGCAGTGGTTCATTCTCGTTCTTGCGCCAAACAATGCGCTGATAATTGGTGTGCGGCTTGAATTCCTCGGAACATCTTCTCGATATCCGCGCAGAAAACATATGGGTGCTGCCGGAAACGTAAACAAACGCCGAGAAGATCGCGTTGAATGGGTGGGCCAATTTGAAGTCGATCATTGAGAGACACTCCAGAGCTGTCCTTTCCCGATCCATAGAAAACTACGCGACATTTCGTAGTAAGACTGTCCAGTTTGATGACAGCGTGGTGCGGCAGATAGAAGCAGGTGTCTGGGGACTCATCCATTTGAGCCGATGTCAGCTGTTCCATATGACCACGTCGCAAGTAGTCGTCCAGAAATGCTTCGTACTGCCGCT